ATGTTTATTTTTATTAATTTTACAATTACTTTTTTGTTGTTGTTACTTTTTGTTTTGCATTTCATAATAATTAAAGCTTTATAATTCAGAAAATTATTAGAATTTTTTCCAATTGAAAATCTCAAATTTCTAAATAAAAAAATATTGTCATGAATTCGAAATGTTTGAGTTTTCAAGAAATCAATCGAAAAACAAAATGTTTTTAACGATTATGATGCAATTTCAAAAATGTGGCATGCAATCATTAATTGCACTGTAATGAAAAGTTAGAAAAAACGACATGAAAAATTCTGTGGTAAACAGTAAACGACACACGAGGTCGCTCAGCAGTCCACCACCGACTTACCAACCCTCTGATAAAGAGAGCGCCGCTTCACTTGACGTTTAAGCTTCTAAAAGCAACAACAATGTWCGTGAAACGTATACAAATAATTTGTTTATTAGTGTGCAGTTTTATGGAAAAGAACGCATTGCGCGAGGTAATTAGCAGCGTGTAAATAAATTATTATATTATACTTATTAATTATTAAATAATGAAAGCATGTGTTTATTTTTGCACTTGTACATACAAACTGTACATACTACATAAAAATTTATTTTTATATACATATACGATTTTAGAAATACACATAAAGTAACGCTTACCTCAGCATCATCATCGACAACTTCTTCAACAACTTCAGCTTTATATTCTAATAATAAGTCTTTTATGGGTTTAGCGTCTAGTTCACAATTAATGAATTTATGTTGTAATAAAATATCTGTGGGTGGACGTTGTTGTGGATCCTAGAATAAGAGAATGAATTCACATATATATATTTAAGTATGAAAATAATGATGGCATATTGCTTAAGAGGCGCTCACTTTGACCAAAGCTTTCTTTAGAAAGTCAACGAATTCCTTACTCCACTTTGATGGCTGATCCAGTGTTGGAGGATCGCTTTTTTGTATTTTTAATAAAACACGCATYGGCGACATTTCACTATTTGGTGGTTCCATTTGCGCTAACTCGATTAATGTTATGCCAAGTGACCAGATATCCACTTTTAAGTCGTAAGGATTATCCCGAAATGTTTCGCACAGCACTAGCTCTGGCGCCATCCAATAAGGTGTGCCTATGAAAGTGTCGTGCTTTTGTAAAGTATGTTTATTCTTAGCCGAAACGCCAAAATCAGCTGTAAAGCGTAAAAAAAAGAATTAATTTTATTTTTATATAATAAATTTAATTTGCAAACCTAATTTGACACCGCCTTCCATGGTTAGTAATACATTCCCAGCTTTTAAATCTCGATGGATTACTTTATTATTGTGTAGAAAATTTAAACCTTCAGTCATGTGCCGGCAAACGTAGGCTATTTGTGGTTCCGTGAGTGGTTTCTCTAATTCCACCATTATGCTGTCAAGTGCACCGCCATCGCAATACTCGATTAACATCTGCAGAAAAACATAGATTTGCGCATTCATGTAAAAATAGTAAATTTTTTTTTTTGCACAAAAAGTCAAATATTAGTAGTATATCACATACATGCATGTTTGACTGTAAAAACTCACCCACAGCTTGTCCTCTATTGAGAACGCTTCATATAACTCCACAATATTTGGATGCTTTATCTCTGACAAAATATCTATTTCAACCATGTGATCACTTAGATTCTCTTCATCTTCTAATGTGCACAATTTAGCGGCAGCAAAGCGTTTTTGTTCCTTGTGTTGCGCCTTATATACCTTGCCAAAAGCTCCATCACCCAACTCGCCTACCATTTCCCAAAACTCCGCCGGATCTGTGTCCATTTTGATGTTATTATAAAGGCGTTTCTTTTTCGCCTCACCACCACCAAGGTGGAATACTTTCTTAAGATTATTTATGAACGACATTGTTATGCTTATTTAATGTATATAAATTATARCTAAATATTTATGTCGTAAGAGTATGTTGCTACATTAACGTTACAAAAAAAAATTATCCACAGCAGTTTTACACTCCAAAGGCACTACATTTTGCTTTTAACATACAAAAGTAGTTGTATTTGTTTTCATTTCACTTAGCTTTTTTCATGCAGCAGCTTAATTGCTCTTCAGTAGCTAATTCTTCTTCTCAGTTTCTTTGCTTCTCGTATTTTTTATTATTTTCAAATCAATCGAAAATCATGTCCAAGTCAATTCCAATAAGCAAAGGGGGTCACCCTTCTCGCGCAAACCACACCAACAGCAGCAGACAGTAGTAGCGGTAGCGGTATTTGTTGCGACGCACGTGTTCCCCTACCACCGCTTGCGTTTTAGTCGTTCAAAAGTTCTCTATGATTCTGCTCTCTTCTCTAATTTAATTATCGGCTTTAAATTTAGGTCTTCATGCCTTTGTGATCGGGTACTTTTAGAACTGTAAAACCAAATAAAGTTTCAATAGCGTCAAAAAATAYACAGCAATAATAAAAATGATGAACAATTGAAATGGGTTGAATTATTCAACAGTATGAAACTAAGAAATCAAGATCTTATTTTTTTCTACTGAACGGGCTAATAATATGTTTATGCATTTTAAAATATAGATTTTAAATTCGCAAATTGGTATGGTGAAAGTAGATTTCGCCCGACCCTACTGAATATTTTGTTTACGAAGATGTTTAGCAGATTGCTTTGACTGTTGTCACATCTGGCACAGTGATTAGCATATGATTCAAGTTTATGATCAGCGTGAAAAGTTTACAATATTTATTCAATTGTTTGCAAATGCTGAAATTGTCTAAAATTAAATATTACATCAGTGCACAAAATATGACTCATTTAAGCTGCGAAAAAACTGCATGTTTCACTAATTTTAGATAATTCAGCTCGCCTCAAATATGTGCTATAGTTGTACACGTTTATATAATTTTCAAATTAATTGGATATTAAAATCACGTATCACTTTTACATTGGACTTTTAACTAACTACACCAGTTCATGATACTGTCCAAGTCTAGACGTTACATTGAGAAAATCAATTTTATATGTTATATGTTTTTTCTTGGCATCAGTAACTCTCACGTAGTCGGCCTTGCATACCTTAGTGGACACTAATCGGTATTAAAGTTATCAACTTGTCTGTTATCATTTAATATGCAATGGCGATAAAATTTTCACGACTTTCAAAATAGTTTTACTTATAGGTAAATATGAAAGTGCTAACACCCAACCAACCAGCCAGCCAGAGAAACTAGTCGATATTCATTGCATTCCTGGTTCATTCATGCACAGGCTAGCTAGTCAACCAACCAGCCATCAGCTGCCATTCGTTAGCTCTTCGCGTGGCAACTCGGCAATTCCATTCATAGCTCGTTTAAACTTTTGTGCATTTAATTAACATTATAAGCCAAGTTTTCGCAACACTTTTTTTTTGCTTCTATTAAACAGAAAATTTTTTAACGATGAGGTAAAATTGCGGCGCTTATCACTATCGCTATTAGTCACTCATATTTACATTGATTCATGACAGCACCGAAACCGTCCAAAAGAACATATAACTAAAATAAAATGGCGGTTACTTTAGGACTGCCAACTGTCGTGCTTTACCCGAAATATGTAACCAACTGATAACTTTTAAAAAATATGACATATATTTCAGTTTATCTTTATTTCAAAATGAGAAAATTACCAATTGAAATTAAAGCACTATGTCACTTTCTTATAAAAGGCAAGGTCACTGATTTGAACGCACACCCATTTTTTCATAGCGACGCATCAGCACGAATGCATATAAGTTGGCAGCCCTGTTCGAGGTAGGACAAAATATGATTAAAATTGGTCATGCGAAGAATAAAAATTSCAAAAAAAAAGTTGTTGGTTCAAAAATCTATAAATTTTCCTAATTAGGGTCACAWATTATTTGTTCGAACATCTTGGTTGGCACTGAACGAAAATATTTGAGCTTAAATGCAGCGTAAGCAATCTGCCGAACACATAAGGATCTGCAGCCACAATGCACCTTGTACATTTGTTGCTATTATTTTTCACAGCAATTTAACAAATAGTAACAGCAAATAAGACTATATACTTTCAATGAAACGTTTATTTGACAATTTTAATATTAATATAACTAAAATCTATTAAACTATAAAAACATATTCCGACCGATATTAAATCAACTTACGAAGTATAGTAGAAAGTAGAAACTGATATAAAAGCGAATTAGCAAAAAAGAGTTTCCTACTCCTAACTTGCAATCAAATAATTGCGAAAAGAAAAAATCAAAATCAATGCATTCTGTTCACGGCGACATCTAACAGCTAAACATAATTTAAAACTGAGAACGTATATTATATATAAATATACACTCTCTGATTTAAAAGTAAAATATCTAAACGAAAAATTTATTTTAATATTCAAATTCGGTATTTGTTTAAAATTATTTTAGTAATAATAATTGAATACTTCTTTTATAAAAAAAAATCTGCAATGCTGTACACTCTGTTATCAATGAAACTATTTTATCGACCTGAATTGTCAGTGCCGACAACATCACACAATTTATTCCACTGTCATTGCTCTTGTTCTTGATCGGCATTATTAGCAAAAGTTTTCCAAAAGTCATCTAGTTGGTTGGTTTTAACATTACCAGCGACTTTACAAATATTAAGATAAATAATAGGATATAAATAAAATGCCATCACTGGAGGTAAATGTAAACAAGGTGATTGTGCACCCACTSGTGTTGCTGTCTGTTGTGGATCACTTCAACCGTATGGGCAAAATCGGAAACCAGAGACGTGTTGTCGGTGTGTTACTGGGTTGTTGGCGTTCAAAAGGAATTCTTGATGTCTCCAACAGTTTTGCTGGTATGTACATGATAAAAACATACAACTGAAATTAGTTTTTTTTTTTAATTACTTTATTATATTTCTCAAGTTCCTTTCGATGAGGATGACAAAGACAAGTCGGTGTGGTTTTTAGATCATGATTATTTGGAAAATATGTATGGCATGTTCAAGAAAGTAAATGCACGCGAGCGTGTTGTCGGCTGGTATCATACCGGTCCTAAACTACATCAAAACGATATTGCCATCAACGAGTTAATACGGCGCTATTGCCCCAACTCAGTGCTGGTGATAATTGATGCGAAACCCAAAGATTTAGGTTTACCAACTGAAGCTTACATCGCAATAGAAGAGGTGCATGACGATGGTTCACCGACGAGTAAAACCTTCGAACATGTGCCCAGCGAAATTGGCGCTGAAGAAGCCGAGGAAGTGGGCGTCGAACATTTGCTGCGCGATATCAAGGACACCACAGTCGGCAGCCTCTCACAAAAAATTACTAACCAATTAATGGGCTTGAAAGGCTTAAACGCACAATTGCATGACATCAAAAACTATTTGCAACGTGTTGGTGATGGCAAAATGCCCATCAATCACCAAATTGTATACCAGCTGCAGGATATCTTCAACTTATTACCCGATATAACGAGTGAACAATTTACCGAAACMATGTATGTTAAAACGAACGATCAAATGCTGGTCGTCTATTTGGCGTCTATGGTGCGCTCCATCATTGCATTGCACAATCTCATCAATAACAAATTGACGAATCGTGATGCGGAGGAAGGTAAAAAAGCCGACAAGGAAGCGGAAAAGGAGAAAGAGAAAAATAAGGATAAAGATAAGGAGAAGGATGGTAAAGATGTAAAGGACAAGGACAAAAAAGCCGATGATAAATCTGCTAAAAGCACAGAAGACAGTGGTAAGGGTGGCAAGAAATAGGAACGAAAGAACAGGAAGAAACCACATCGTAAGAAGAAGAAAAATAAGAAAAACCACTAGAAAGCGTAAATGTTGAATCTACAGCGTAGGGAAGTAGTTGCAAAACTAAACACAATTGCAAAGAATTTATACGTTGAAGTAAAGAGCAGCAGCCGAAACCATAAAAGTTAAATTAAAATATAATAATAATTAATTCGAAAATTTATGCATACACTTCTTCATGAACRTTTTAAGTTTCGTAAATGTTACGCAAGTTCTTTACATATGCAATATAATGAAAATAAAACAAAAATTTATAAATATAAATATAACCAAAACGAATGCAGTATGTGTGGTCAGTATAAAATATATAACTTTACTTAATCTAACGGTTCATTTCATTACACTGCACTCAGCTAATTAACGAGTAATGTGTTTCTTCTGCGCTTGCAACTTAAGATTTTTTCGATTAACGCTAATGTTTATAATAACTACATACAAATTTATGTGCATAAACAACAATAGTACAATATAAGTAATGTTTTGTAAAAAAAACGAAAAATACTTTTTTTATAATCTGTGTGTGGTTGCATGGTGCTTTCAGGTTTGGTATTATTTGGCTTARTGTGGGATTCAAATAAATTCGGTTTTATTTCGGTTACTTATAACCGTTGGTCGGGGGTAAGATGTGAAGTATTTTTTTTTTTTTATATGTGAAGTATTTTCTTAAGCATCGCTTGTGGTAGGCTTAATATGTGTATGTATGTATGTAAAGCACTGTGTTAGCGCTCGTGTGAGTATGCAAACTTCCGGCGGATACTTTGTAGGTTATTTAAAATGTGTAAATTTTTTTCGTTTCTTTKTATGTATATGTCAGTTGTAAAAATAGTGTTTGTATGTATGTAAATATATTTGCCCGCATTAAAAATGTCAACGCTCAATTTATAAAACACAAAGGTTTTGGTCACACACAAGCGAATGCATAAACCAAGCGAAACTCACCACAGTCGATGCTATTGCCGTGTCGTATAATGTATTACAGCGTGAATTGACCCGTGTTATCAAGCAGCGCGCCTCAAAATTATTCAACGTAAGGATTTGTTTTTATTTTTTTAGCAACAACAAATACGTGTGTTTCGAGTTCAAAGAAACTTGTCAAATCACCTGTAGTTCGCACAGCTGTTTCATTTTTGTGGGTGGAGTGGGTGGCAAAACTGCGCATGCGCTTTAGTTAGTTGGCGAAATAAAAGTTAATGTACCAACATGTAGAGTTAAACGTGCTTGCAAGTGAAAAAGTGACTTATTACAGCAAATATAACAAATAAATAATTTTAAAGTTTACATTTTAATATAACATTATAAAAAATGTAATGCTGAGCAAGTTGATTTAAGATTTGAAATATTGAAACAACAACAAAAATGCTGGTGGACTAATTAATTTCGCTTAAAGGACACTTGCTCTAATCTACGGCAATATATTTATATATTTAAGCGTAATAAACATACATATGACATAAACACACACACGTCGAAAAGCACATCCACTTGTGCTAAGTGCACAAATAACAGTGAAAAGCAATTAGTCAGCCAAGTCTAGCGCACAAAATTACAAATTAAATATATTTTTATGTACTTATATGTATGTATGTATGCATGTGTGTGTGGGTATAGCGACATAAAATTTACTACTATCGGGCAGCGATCGATTGATTGCATATTTGGGATGCGAAACACACAAATCGCCTGCATGCGTCGTAAAACATATGCCAATTAAAAGGAAAATACGAAAAATGCGAAAAAATAAAAATAAACTAATAATAATAATTTTATTCAACAAAGGCAAAATTTGTTTCCAGTGTGTGCTCGGCGTTTAGTTTCGATTTACAACGCTTCGTGTGAAGTTCAAAAATAAATTCAATACATTTGGYTATGTCCAAGCAAACCACCTTGATAGCCACGAAATGACATTCGGCTTTAAGCAGTTAAATTTTTTCCACGAAAAATAATGTGGTAGTGTTGGAAATATATATGTATATTTAAAATTAAATTGAATTAAAAAAACAAATTTTGGAAAAAATTAAAAAAAAAAATTTAAAATTTGAAGAAAACAAAATATTTACAAAAATTTTAGTAAAAATACTTAACAGAAACAATTGAAAGTAAAAATCATAAAAATGCCTTAAGACACTGGTCAGCAATGTTGTGGCATGAAAAACACTTTAACTGAAAACCGAGTGCACTACAACAGTATAMCATCACCGTGTCAACTTTACAGTGCAAGCAGTGACCTTTCTAGCGCCAACGTCAACGTTAACGCCACCGCCACCCAACCCAGCATATGTCAGGTGCATGACATGTGCAMAAATAAACCGCTAACATTAAAAACAACAACAATATCAAAAAAGTAACAATGAATAATACAAAATGGAATAGCACACGCTATCACTCACCCAGCCAGCAGGAGGCGACTATGCGGCGCAGTCTCGAGGAGATCTCCAAGGATATCAAAGATATTGAAAATGTCATTACCGCCACAGAAATAGCTGTGCGTAATGCMAATAAAGCCGAGCCGCCGCTAAAGCGACGTCGCAGCAAAGCGCTGCCGAATAAGGAGAATAAAACACCGAGTCCGACCGAGCGCCAGACGCATAGCAGCACGCAAAAGTCATCGCCGGTCACTTTCAAAGTGCACTCCTTCAAGCGGCAACGYCAAAAGATGCGCAGTCCACGTCTGACCAATTCGAAACTTTACTTTCGCAATGGACGTATCGGTTGTTTGGAGGCCGATCCGCACGGTTCCAATGTACAGAGCACACACGCTTTGGTCAAAGATATTTTGAAGTATGTGCATGAGAAACCGCTGGTGAGTCCRGAGAGCGTGCGGCGTGTATTGGATGGCACAAAGACGCCGACGCCACACTCTTCAACGACAACAACAACGACGCCAACAACACCGACCACAGTCGAAACGGATGCGGCTACTGTTGGTCAGGCGTCGGAGCAGGCTTGTGAAGCGGTGGTTTTGCTGCCTGGTGCAGTGCCCGTTGAGAATGATGATGATGTTGTTGTTTGTGGTTTGAATGGTTGCTCTAGCGGCGGCAGCAATAACGTCAATATGCCTGACAGYAGCAGTCATCGGCGTGGACCAAGTGTGGGCTCTTCAATGACAGAGAATACGACCTCGCAGTCGCAAGCGCTGGTCGATGACGATGAGCAGGATGTGCAAATTTGTTATGACGAACTGCCGGATATATTGAATGATGAGCAGAACTTCGGTCCGGAGTTGGTGAAGAGTGATTTCGCTGCGGTGGAGCCGGAGACGGAAACCGCTACTGATAGGCGTTTTAGCGCGACGAGGTAAGTGGACTGGTGATGTGAGCAATCAACCTTCTTAGCGATGGAAATTGCTGGTTTATTATTCCCCATAAACTCCTTGGTTTAAGGTTTTATTTGGTACAAATTCAAATACGTAAGCGGTTAGCATACTCCGTACTGACACAGTCGGRTCTTAAGTTCAAATACGAACGAATCGAAGAACTTAGCACCGCTTCGATTTCGAAAATCCATGTGGTAGTACGAGTATAGTCCGTTCGAGCCAAACGGTTCTAAAGTTCAAATACGAACCAATCGAAGAATGTAGCTCCGCTCCGATTTCGAAAATCTGTGCGGTAGGATAATCCGTCTTAGCCGAAAGGTTCTTAAGTTCAAGTAGGAACCATTCGGATAAGGTACCGCTGCTCCGACTTTGTTTCAGTTATTTAAGATAGTATTTATGGTCTCTTTCAGAAATCTCAAAATGTCGGCTTTAACAATTTATAGTCTTTAAGGAACGGTATGAATTTCCTCACTGAACCCGACATGATATTCCTCAGCCAACTCTGAATACGGAGATACGGACTTTTTGCTCTTAATCTGCAGTCCAAAATATAAAATATGAGATCAAAACTCCTAACAGAAAMACCCAAATTGCTCGCTAATAAAATCCCTCAAGACCCTTTCCAAGAACTGAAAGATACATTTTTTTGAACTAAATTTGTGCTACATAAATTTTTTTACTACTCTAACTCTTACTTTAAAACTTTCCATTTAATTATTTTCACTCCCCCTTCCGTAGTCTCAACGAGGACGTGCGTGATCAGGTGCGCCATCTGGTACGTCGCTTTACCGCACGCGCCAATAAAGTAAAGTCACACATTGAGTTGCCACCCACACCGTCGAGCAGCAACAGCGCCCATGCCAGCACCAGCAGCAGCACCGGTGGTTCAGCTTCACCTGTACGCTCACTCCCAGCCGCTTTGAAATCGCTAAGTACAACACGCGAGAATTCGCCCTTCAAAACTAAACTGAAAGACGCCGCCAAATCACTGAATCGTGGACGTCTCTTCGAAGCCGACACATCGCGTTCGAATGTCTGGATCTGTTCGAGTTTGTGCGGCAGCAATAATGAGGAGAAGACGCTTGATCCGCAGGGTAAAATCTACATATCGTGGTTGTGTGTTGTTTCAATATCGTTCCTCTATAATGCTTGGGTTATACCCTTGCGTTCCACATTTCCATTTCAAACACCGGAAAATACGAACACTTGGTTGATTTGTGATTTCTGTGCGGACATTATTTATTTGTTGGATGTGATATTCTTYAAGCATCGTATCATGTATCTATTCGAAGGATTTTGGGTGAAGAATAAGAATTTGACACGCAAGAATTACATGAGGAAACTGCAATTTAAGGTGAGTTTGAAATCGTGTGTATTTGTYGTTTTTTAGGCTTTTATATCCGGCGTTCTCAGCTGTCCAAGTGGGTTCCTCTACGATCGGCCTTATTTTCCGACGTTCTCAGCTTTCCAAGTGGAATTCTCTTTTGTATCGGCCCTTTTATATTCAACGTTCTTAGCTGTACAAGTGCGTTGTTCGTTTGGATCGACTCTTTTACATCTGAAGGTCTCAGCTGCCTAAGTGGAATCCGCTTTTGGATCTACCCTTTTGTGTCCGACGCTGCCAGCTGCCCAAGTGGATTCTCTTTCGAATCGACTTACTAACCCTACTTAGCACTTAAAACTAATACGCCGCATATTTTTTGTTTCATCCAGTCTTCATCGAACGTTCATATTTTTGTCAGCAATTCTTAACCGCTTTATACATATAATATTTACTTTTATAACTAAAATACTTAAATTTTTATTTTTAACTTTTAGTTGGACCTGCTCGCCCTACTGCCGCTGGAGCTTTTCTACTTAAAATATGGCACTGGCGCTGTTTATCTGCGTTTTCCACGCCTATTCAAAATACAAAGCTTCTGGGAGGTTTTCAAGTTGTTGGACCGTGTTATATCTTCRCCACATTTCGTAAGTGATGTTTTTTATTTTATGTACCAGCTATGATAACGTCTTCTCCTCTTTTTCTTAGGTGCGAGTAGCTAAGACCCTAACCTATATGTTGTATATGATCCACTTAACCGCCTGCGCATACTATGCCTACAGTGACTATCAAGGTAACATTCAGCAGAATCCTAACTCACTTATCTCCCTTCATACCATGTACTACTTGTTCTCTACAGGCTTAGGCGTGAACCGTTGGGTCTTCAGCGGCAAAGGCCATCCCTATGTTCGTTGCTTTGCCTTCGCGACTAAAACAGCGACATCTATAGGTAAGCTTTTGAACGCCGCATATTTTAAAACTATACACACTTTCAACCTTTATCTATACCTCCTTCGTCTCTAGGTAAAAATCCAAAACCCGAACGCGAAGGCGAATATGTTTTCATGACCGCCGCATGGTTGATGGGTGTCTTTGTATTTGCATTGCTGATCGGTCAGATACGCGATATAATTTCCACCGCGACGCGCAATAAAAATGAATATCGGCAATTGGAAGATGAGACCTTGGAGTATATGCGACGGCTGAATTTACCGAGTGAGGTGCAGGGACGCGTAAAAATGTGGTTTAAGTTCACGTGGGAGCAACAACGTACTTTAGGTAGGYAACTTGGGTAAATAAAGCTTACCAGCAAAAAGCTCACCAAAGCTTAGAATGCAAAAGCTCATCAAAAGCAAAACCAAAAAAGGTTCARCACTAGCTTAAACAAAATGCACTAAAAGTTTAGTTTACAGAAGCTCATCTGAAACTTYCATAGCCTATAATTCGCTTTTGTAAAMGTTTAGAAGAATAAGCKGTGTCTACACCAATGAAGAAGAAGAAAAAATGTATAATATAAAAGCTTAACAAAATCTTAAAACATAAGTTKCACTAAAAGCTTACTAGAGTCTAGTTTACAAAAGCTCATATAAAGCTTCCAAAGTAGCGTAAACAAAATTCACTTTTATAAAAGTTTAGAATACAAAACCTAAACAAATTCCAATAAAAGCTTTCAGTAAGAAAGTTTACTAAAAGTTAAGTTTACAAAAGCTCAATAAAACTTTAAAACTAAAAAGCTTTCACACTAGTCTAAACAAAATTTCACTAAAAGCTTAATAAAATTTTGGTTTACTTAAGCTCATCTAAAGCTTTCACACCAGCATTAACAAAATTCACTTTGAAACAAAGTGAAGAAAGCTCAAAAAAATTTAAAACGAAAAGCTTCCACAATAATCTAAACAAGTTTCCCTAAAAGCTTAACACAAGAAAGCTCAATAAAATTTAAGTTTTGAAAAGCTCAACAAAAGCTTAAAACGCACAAACTTTCACAATAATCAAAACTCTCTTGCTCTCTCCCTAGATGAAGCCAACATTTTGGACTCATTGCCGATCAATTTGAAGACGGACATCGCTATCGCCGTGCACATACAGACACTCTCAAAAGTACAACTTTTTGCCGACTGCGAGGAGGCGCTGCTACGTGATTTGGTCTTAAAATTGCGCGCGGTAACTTTTCTGCCCGGTGACAATGTGTGTCGCAAAGGCGAAGTGGGACGCGAAATGTACATTATCAAACTCGGACAAGTGCAAGTGATGGGCGGTCCAAATAGTGACATTGTCTTGGCTACACTCTCCGAGGGTTCGGTCTTCGGCGAGATCAGCTTATTGGGTATAAATGGCGCTGATCGGCGCACAGCCGATGTACGCTCCAAAGGCTATGCCAATCTCTTCGTACTCTCCAAATCCGATCTGAACGAAGTGATCGCCTACTATCCCAACGCACAAGCGATGCTGAAGAAACGCGCACGCGCGCTAATGCGTAAGAATGCGGCACGCGAACGTGAAGAGGAACGTGCCAAAAGCGCGCTGAAAGCCGATGTGGTGATTAGTAATCCGAAAACACCGGAAACGCCACCGAAACTCTTGAAGACTGTCATACAGGCATTGCCTTATGAGTCGCCCGCCGTCATGCTGATCACGCGCGGCTCCAAACGCATGCGCAAGAAGAGCAGACCCAATGTGCTGGCCAGCATCGAGGATGAAGAGAATGTGGCACCCGCAAATGAGCAGCGTGCGGGTTTGTTGGGCGCCATAGCTGCTGCGACGGCCGGTAGGCGTGCCAACTCGCCCGATTTGTTGTCATCCATACAAGATGAGCTRAAAACCAAACATAGCTTCATCAACTTAACTGATTCACAAAAAGCATTAATCATATCGAAATCCAATAGTAGTTTAATGGAGCTGCCACAGCAGCCGAGCCGCGTAGAGCAGCTGCCACTGCGTAACAAAGGAACCGTTTAAGCGTGCCMTCTAGCGACGAGTATCTATTATGTATGCGACGAGCTTTATAAATATGCATGAATTAACCATGAAAAAGTCTTACTAAAACAAAAACAAAAAAAAAACTTGTTAAAAACGAACAAGAATGCAATAAATTGTGAAATTTTATTATTGTGACAATTGATGTGCTGAAATCGCGGTGCTTAACAACCCACTTATATATGCAATGTGAAATTGAACCGGTTTTAAACCGTTAATCTACTGAAACATACATGCAGCTACAAGAAATGTGAGCTTCAATCAAAGATTTGTGTGTGTAAATTTTTCATTTCATTTTTATTTGTAACTTCACTGTGACGAAATCACATTAAATCCAAGTTGTCTTTAATAAAAAAATTAAAAAAAAAACACATTGTTTTATGTAACATGTGAAGCAATGTTAGCATAACTTTTGTTTCAGTCTGTTTTCTTAACTCAAATGCATTAAATGCTAAGCAGTCGATTTAATTGATTCGCGCATCCTTGTAGTGCTTCTCGTTGTCGGTTTTGTCCAAACGAATGGAGTATTTAGGTATTAAGGAACCCTCAACGGTGGCCTCGCCATTCTCATCGAACTGTGGTCCATCGCCGATCTCTTGGGTATCCTCCTTGACCACACGGTAACCATTTTCATCGGCTTCATAGTACACGGTGCGCATGACATAACCATCGCGGTACGAGTACATGCCCTTAACCTGAAAGTATGAAGAAAAAGAGTTTATTAACCAATTCCAATAAGAAAATAATTTAATATAATACTGTATACCCTGCACAGTTTTGCTTTTCTTAGGTGTAAGAAGATATTTCGATCGTCAGTTTATAGTGTAGCCTAATGCTATAGTGTTTCGATCTGAACTAAATATTCTGAAATTTTAGAAGAAGCTTGGAGAATGATCTATGCAAAATTTCTTGAAGATATCTTCTCCAATAAAACAGTTTTCCATACAAGAACTTAATTTTGATCGGTCAGTTTGTATGGCAGCTATATGCTATATATGCAGATCAGTATCTGAAGTATATCTTCGGAGTTTGTAGCTTTACCTTGGCCCATAATCTATGCAAAATTTCTTGAAGWTAATTTGTCAAACAAAAAAGTGTTTCTGCGAAGAACTTGATTGTGAACGTTCAGTTTGTATGGCAGCTAAATGCTACAGTGGTCCGATCTACACAATTTCTTTGGGGATTACACAGTTTCCTTAGGCTATAACTCGTGTCAAATTTTCCAAATATATTTCGTCTAATGAAAAAGTTTTCCATACAAAAACCTGATTTCGATCGGTCAGTTTGTATGGCAGTTATGTACTATGTGGTCCGATATCGGCCGTTGACGTATGCAAAAGTTTAGGTCTATATCTCAAAACCTGAGCGGCTAGTTCGCGTATATACAGACAGGCCGTTAGACAGACTGAAGGCCATGACTAAATCCAGCTCAGCTCGCAATTATGATYATTTATATATATTATGTAAATATATACTTAATAGGATCTACGACGCGGTTCACAAACTCTTCTTCTCGGTTACTTTTCAGTTTCACAAGCTTCTTRTCGAACTTGAGGGTATAAAAGTTCCAAATCATTTGGATTTAAATAGTTGGTTTTGGTTTTTCATATCAAAAGAGCTCATAAACTGACATCATTTCTCATCTCAATCAATAACGTGCGGATCTTCAACTGTTCTTCACAATTTCATTACGGTCTCATCAAATCAGGTTTATATACTACCTTATCTGATCTCATCTCATCTCATCTCAACTCATCTCATCTCACCTCACCTAATCTCTTCTCAATATTATTCGCATATTAAAGCCATTTAAGTCGAACTTTTACTATTATTTAAACAATTTCTTACCTTTGTACCATCACGTGTCTCCTCGCGTTGAATGGCGCCGTCGTTTATGTTGTCCTCGATATTTGAGCCATAAGAGTACTGTGCACTCTCATTTTGRATACGCTCCAATTCGGCTTTCTCCTCAGCTTCCGCTTGGTCCTGCATAATCAAAGCAAAAAATTAGTGAATGTACAGAAAGATAAACAACTTTTTATTACAAAACTACAACTCCATGTTTGTGTGTATGTATGTACAGGTAATTGTATGTATGTATGTATATATGCTTGTTCATAAGTGCTTTCATTGCAGTGGCACATTCACTCGAGTGGTGCTTTCGCATACGACCTTGTGACATAAAAACAATGAGACAAGTAAAAAACGTTTATCGACAACAAAAAAGTAAATAAAAGTGAGTGAAGCCGGTTAAACTCAAAGAAATGTAAATATTGAACCTGTTATTAGGTGAATTGCACAAACTCAGAGATGCTGTTTCCAGTGTGGAAATTGTTTATCTTACAAAATTACTTGAATGTGCTCGTATGTATGTAGTTATGTMTGTATGCCTACTWGWGTACTTGTAAAAAAAACATATTTGTTTAACCAGTTTTGGCATGAAGCGCTGTGGATAGCCTTAATATGTTCGTGCGGAGCTTTAGTGCCCTGCAAATGATTGATACAGCTAATTGGTTATGTATGCTGGTAGATGTCTACATRCGTTTAGTTTTTTAACAGACGGTTTTATTTTGTTTTTGCTGTTAATTTTTTAATCCCGAAATTTTCGGGTTCCCGAAAAACAATTACGCAAATTTTCGACAGTATATTTAGTATTTTAACAGACGTGTTTATTGTGTTCTTTCTTATATTTTTTATTAATCCCGAAAATTTYGGGATCCCGGAAAAMAATTACAGAATTTTTCGGGATTTTGTTAAAATAATAAATTATTGAGAATAATGCGTTAAGGTAATCTCGAGTGAAAATCTCGAAATTTCGGGATCCCGAAAATCTATATTAAATGCATTATTAAGCACTTGCACGTGCACTTAAATGTGTAGAGAAGATTGTAATGATCATGTTTGCTGTCAATTTGTATGTTAAAACAATCTCGAGTAAAAATCTCGAAATTTCGGGATCCCGAAAATCGATACTGTATGCATTAGTAAGCACTTGACTTACAGAAGTGTCGGTAAGCTGATGTGCATTTCAAAATGTGTAATTACTTAGCCATTTGCATATTTTATGTGTCTCTATGTATTATAGGTATCTACAAACATACATGTATGTACATGTCTGTAAATGGAATACATGTCTGTATGTATGTATGTAGTTGCGAGTACTTTTTATTAATATCCAACTGCGAGTTCTTGTTTAATTGGTTACGTGCAAGTGCCCCGTCAACGTTAAAAACGTGATGCATCGTTATGTATGTATGTATGAATGGGCTTGTATTAATATGTACATACATATACATACATACATACGTATGTACATCTATACAAATGTGTCATGTGATGTTACTCAGAAGGTCGGAGCTCTACACAATAAAGATAACTTGTCTTCGGATTTCTTGGAAAGTTCTCAATTTAATATTTTAACTGAGGTCTAATAAAGCTAGAATCTATTTAAATTAGGAAAAACACAAAACGGCAATAGAGCTAGGGCAACTCGATAATACTACCCATACCACATTCAAATTCAGCAATTCCTCCGAAGAGAAAAAAACCCAATAAACAAAATGGATGTCAGTCGAGGCGACACTTGAACATGACAAGAACAGTTTCTGGTATTCATTTGTTATTTAATGTACAAGATGAGCCCCCGGACTGTCCGATCTCTATGGCTCGATGGGCAAAATGAACTAACACGTAATGTTACAATTACTTGGAAAGGCCACTTTCGAGTTCAAAACAATTTCTTACAATTACTAATTATACGTCTGTATATATAATATCTCACGAAGCAATGCGTCATCGAGATAAGAATATATCTCACTTTAGTATAAACGTGAGCTCTGATCGCAGCGCCCTCTCAACACTTCGCGTACACCGCAAATTTCGAGAGCAATTTTTTATCATCTCCTTGAGGAAAAAATAAATATGAAATAAATGAAAATTAGTGCGAATTGGCTTTGGGTCAGAGCATATACCCTTTCCATAAAGAARAGAGGTCGAAAAAGACCTAGATTTTGTGTTGAATTGGGATTAGAGGGGTTAGAGTACATACAATTTTTTATTTTATTTCTTACGTTCGAACAGTCTAAAGAAAGGTCGAAATTACCGCATTTTCAATAGGTAAGGAAGGAAGGAAGAAAGGCTTCTCCGTACCAAATTATTGAAATTTGAATCAATTTGTGGGTTCTACAAAGATYTCTCTACACTTGCTATTGCAAGTCCATCTACGTGAAAGAGTTGAGCAAGAGTGTAAGTGTCTCAAAACAGTTAACTTTGTCAAATTATGTGGGTGCTGAGTAACCACGATCCACTGCGCATGAAGGGTATATACTTGCATATACATAATACCTATGTATATACATAGATATTCATGTATTGTATGTAAATAAGCGAAAAAGAACTGGAAACAAGTAATCTTAAAAGTTTGCTGGCGGCAAATTAATAGCGAAAGATGCGTTGCCGACCTCAAAACGGAAACAAGTTTCCAAGTGCGGTGAACGGAGGTATATACATAAGTTTATACTAGGGTGGTTCTAAAAACGATACGTATATTTTATTCGCTTGGTACTATGAAAATTAATCGCAAAAGACGCCATATGTACATACATAAGTTTATATTAGGGTGGTTCTAAAAACTCTCGAAAAAATGTTTTCGCGTTCACTATGAAAATGAATGGCAAAAGATGCTCAAAACGTAAACAAGTTTCCAAGAGCGGTGAACAGACGTACATACGTTTCATTAGGGTGGTTCTAAAAAATCACCAAATCCTTTTTTCGTGTGGTACTATGWAATATAGGGTTTTAAAGACCTCTAAGAAAGTCACCCCGAATATAAACTCGTGATTATAACGGTAAAGTCAACCGTTTATTTAATTAAGTTTATTTCTTCCTTATAGTCAGTTAGAAAACAAGTTTAAATTTTAGGAAATTGTATGCAGTAAAAATTGGTCTCTTAAGAATTTTTAGAAATTATCGATTGAAGTTAAAAAAAAWWTTTTAATTTTTTTGACCCACCCTCGTGTATACATATGTATGTAATATGTGACACACGTAGATGAATCTGTGTGTGTGTGTACCTTTGTAACTAATTTCTTATTTAGCAAAATAAACGCAAGAAACTTCAAACGAAAACTAGGGGCTGGCGGGGSGCGTACAACTTCGTAAGTGTTTGCAGAGCACAAACAAACATATAAACACGTCGTGCGCGCGTCGCTTTTAAGGTAGTTTTCATTTAATAGCGCAGAAGTGAACATGTTTCGCCACAACGGATCGTCAGCATTTAACACCAACAACAGCAATTACCGCCTCTTCGGTAAAAGACAATTACACACAGAAATTCATTTGTACACATTGCGATTTCCGATTGCGAAAAAATCAGTCAAAGTGTTAATAGAAAAAATTTGCWTAAAAATATGAGTGAATGTGAATTTTTCATCCTTTTTATTCCCTTTTTTCTTTTGTTGTTTTTCTGACAGGCGGTGCAACTTTCAAAGTGTTAATGCTGTTGTTGTTGGCGCTYGTGGTAATGAGCAATGCACAAAGTACGTGGTAATTTGTTTTTGTTTGCACTTCTTTTTTTAAAGTGGCAGTTATTGAGTAAACTTYCTGCACTTTTTCGTTTTTGTGTTAATTTTCGTGAAGTAGGTTGTCCCTCGTCCACGAAGGTGCTGAGCTGCACACCGAAGTGCAAACARGACACCGATTGTAGTGCCATCGGCGGCAAATGTTGCCCGAATTTGTGCAACGAGCGCTCGTGCATACAGCGCAACCAATTGGACCAGGGCAATGGCAACTCCAAGGGTGGCGACAAATATTGTAAGTACAAGCCGATTTATAAATATATAAATGCAAAATGTTAGTATGAGCAGAAAAATCG